CCATTGCACTCCAGCCTGGGTAACATGAGTGAAACTCCGTCTCAAAAAAAGAAAAAAAAAAAAATAGAGAAGTCTTAAACTTCTGACCGCAGGTGATCTGCCTGCCTCGGCTTCCCAAAGTGCCGGATTACAGACATGAGCCACTGCGCCCAGCTGGGATTCTTTTTCTATTAAAAAAAAATTTCCTCCAGCTTTTTATTTTTAAAAAGTTAACATCTTTGTAAAAGTTCAGTGATCACGTATATATATTTTGCATTTGCTTTTCCTATAAAAATGTACATGTATTAAAAATGTTTTTTGAACCATTTGAATATAAGTTGCAGACATTATGACGTTTCTTCCCTAAATAATGGATTTCTTAAAAATAAGGACGTTCTCCATATATATCATCATTTTATAATAACAAATTTATTATTGATGCGATAGTATATATATTAAGTATTTAACATTGATAAAATTATTTTCTAATTTAAAAATTTTTCCAGTTATACCAAAATATCTTTCGTCACTGTTCTCCCTGTCCCTCCATCCAACCCAGGGTCCAATCAAGGATCCTGCATTGCATTTGGACCTTTTTATTACATGTTTTGTTTTTTTCTTTTTCTAATTTAAAAGAAATTCAGCTCATATGAAAACAAACAGTACTAAGAAGAGTAGTAGGTAGACAGTTACAATTTTATTTTCTATGAAATAAACAATATTAATGACGGTTTTGTGTTTTAAGAGTTTCCTAGTAGCAGTTTTTATGTACGTATATACATATTTATTTAATTTTTGTTCTACAGCTTTTTTTTTTGTTTTGAGATGGAGTCTCACTCTATTGCCCAGGCTGGTGTGCAGTGGCGCAATGTCAGCTCACTGCAACCTCTGCCTCCCAGGTTCAAGCAGTTCTCCTACCTCAGCCTCCCAAGTAGCTGGGATTATAGGCATGTGCCACCATAGCTGGCTAATTTTTTTTTATTTTTAGTAGAAATGGGGTTTTGCCATGTTGGCCAGGTGGGTTTTGAACTCCTGGCCTCAGGTGATCAGCCCGCTTCTGCCTCCCAAAGTGCTGGGATTACATGTGTGAGCCACCACGCCTGGCCTGCTACAGCTTTTATTTAAAATTATTTTTCATTTGCTTAGGGTAGAGTGGAGTGCTGGGACCCAAGAACTCGAAATAGAGTTGGTCTGTTAGACTGCGCGTTAAACAGTGTTACAGCAGATTCAGAGTAAGTAGAAATTAATTTGTAGTGTTAAATGTTCATCAACTTTTGATTTAAGTAAATGTATCTGTCTAAAATTCAAATAAATTGCTAAAGGATGTCTGAAATTGTACTTTCTTGATCTTTATAAAAATCTTCTCCTGTAGCTCACTGATGAGTAAGCCAGATAGAGTTTCTTTCCAAAGTACTATACAGAAGCCTTATTTCTTTAGTTGCTGTAGGATTTTATTAAAACAATTACACTGCAGGAATTTATATTTCAGTTTTGTAGGATCTAGTGATAGAACCAAGGGTCCACCACAAAGTCCACAAAGGTGTGTTTCAAATTCTAAGGTGGAAGGAAGTAAGTGTTTTTAAATTTTTTCTTGTTCCTGTTTGCTTAATTCCTACATTTAAAACAACCCAAAGAGTTTTCACTATTATACACCCATTTATAGTTTTATGATTATTTCCTGAGGCAAGATACCTAGAACCTGAATTTCTGGGTTAAATAGCATACATGTTTTGAAGGTTTTTAGTATATTACTGAATTGCCTCACAGAAAACATAACCCCAGGTTAAATGTCTGCCCGCATGCTTAGAGCATGCATTTGCTCCCTCTCCTCAGCCTGGGCATCCATCACAGCATTGCTAATAATAAGTCTTAGAAAGTGCCTGAGGATATTGATTAAATGAAACCTAGTAGAAATAATAGCTAACTGGTAGTGTTTTCTGTTTGCCAGTTACTGGGTTGTCGGGGTCACCTCACGTTGGGCATGACTGTTGGGGTCACTACCTGTGGGGAGTGTGTCTTGCAGTCCCTGACTCAAAAGCGGATGAATGAAGTACACTGACAGACATATTATGCTTTGCCAGTTTGGCTGAGGTACCAGGTGGCTTACAGGCACCTTGGAGAGCTCTGTAAAAGTTGCAACTGCTGGCCCTTACTAGCTAGTGAGATTTGCATTTATCTAGTAAAGTTTAATTGACAAGGGCTTGAGTCAACACCACTAGAGGTAGAAAGATTAAAGGATAGGTTCTGATGCCTAAAGCGAACACCATTAGCAGATAATATCCCTGGTCAACCTCCCCTCGAGAGGGCCATCTGGCTCCAAGGTTAGTTTTAAGAACACATGAGTAAACAGGCCATTAGGTAAACTTCCTCACATGCCCTAGCTATTTGCCTTACTTATTAACTAAATGTAAGGGGGGATTTAGGCTGCCTTCAGCTGAAACTTCTACTGAAACTATGAAAAAACCCTTAGGCCTTCCAAAAGGGTTTGAGACTACATTCTTCTCCTATTCTCCCTTAATATTTTTGCCACCACTCTGACTGAATTCCCACACTGGGTCTAAGTTCTTTACATATGTTAATTTATTTAATATGACAGCCCTTTGCTATAGGCACTGTTAGTGTATTTGTTTTACAGATGAAAAAAATTTAATCAACGGCATACATATTATTCAGCCTTTAAGAATTATGTTGCAGAAACATATGACTAGGGAAAGGTGGTCCAAATATGCCTGTGAGTGGAGAAGTGAACCATATGTTGCCTGTAGAGTGTTACCACATTGTTACCAGAAAAACAGTGAACACAGCCATAGTCATAGGAAAAAGGCTGGATGTATACCAAAATGTTAAAACTAGGGGTTTTTTTTCTGATTTGGTTTTGGGTAATTTTACCTGTTTTATGCTTAGCTTTTTTTTCCCCCCTGCAAACCTTAGAAGCTGTCACTTCTAGGTGGGGCCATTATAATATGAGAAAGCAGTAAGTTTAAGTGTTAGATAGGGGAAGCAGGCTGTCATTATTTGCAGATGATATAAGTTTCTCTGCCTGAGAAACTCTGGAGAATAACTGAAAATCTGGAAGAACTAATATAAATTGGTTATAAACAAATTGTTTATAAAATGTGAAAAAAATCAGTGATCTTGTTATTTATTAGCACTATCCAGTTAGGAAGGTTAAAAATGGAAAAATATTCCCATAACGACAAAAACTGTGTAAAACCTGATAAGTACATATATGGGCTGGCTGGGTGTGGTGGCTCATGCCTGTAATCCCAGCATTTTGGGAGGCCAAGGCAGGAGGATCAATTGAGGTCAAGAGTTCAGTATCTGCCTGGGCAACATGGTGAAAACCCATCTCTACAAAAAATACAAAACTTAGCTGGGAGTGGTGATGCACACCTGTAGTCCCAGCTACTCCGGAGGCTGAAGCAGGAGGATTCCTTGAAGTCAGGAGGTGGAGGTTGCAGTGAGCTGAGATAATCCCCCCCTGCACTCCAGCCTGAGTGACGGGAGTGAAATCCCGTATCCAAAAACAAATTTATGAAGAAAATGACAAAGGAATAAGTAGAGAAATACATCACTGTACTGAAAGAAATGATTACCTGTATTTTGAAGAGCGAATGACTCAAGTTGCTGTGGATATGAGGCTTCAGGTTTCCCACAGATGCCTCAGCACAGTTACAGGCCCAGCCTCTAGGTGGCAGAAGAGACCTGATGATGCCGACAGCCAACAGCCTGGACTGTAGTAGGTTTGGGCCAAGGGCATGTGGACAGTAGGATTGATAGCAGAATTGTCCACTTCTGACTCCTCGCCTAGCACTCTTTTCACTGTAGATCCTTGCTTTTGGTCTGATAGGCTTGGCCTGGTGTGTGAGAAGCATGTTCTAGAATCGCGACCATAGCATTCACTCTGTCTTTGGTACTTTCAGAGGCTGTAGGGTCCCCATTTGAGGATTAGTCTTTTATTTTAGCTGAGCTTGGCTAATTTTAAAGTGAAAGTGGTATACCCGTGTCCAAACAAAATCACTTCTTCTTAAGTACAAAAGGGGATGTTTCAGTAAATATCTTACTCTGGCTTAATTAAAATGGAAGAAAGAAGTAGATTACATTTTGTATATAAAGTGTAATTTTATTTTGATAATGAAAATTTGAATACAATTACCATTTACTTATTATTTTAGAGACAGGGTCTTGCTCTGTTGTCCAGGTTGGAGCACAGTGGAATGATCACAGCTCACTGCAGCCTCGACCTCCCATGCTCAAGCAGTCTCTTGCTTCAGCCTCCCAAGTAGCTGGGACAACAGGTGTGTGTCACCACACTGGCCTTTTTTTTTTTTTTTTTTTATTTTTTTGTAGAGACGATGTCTCTGTGCTGCCCAGGCTGGTCTTGAACTCCTGGCCTCAAGAAATCCTCCCCACCTTAGCCTCCCAAAGTGCTGAGGTTACAGGTGTGAGTCATCTTACCAGGCTGCAGTTACCTTTTAAACAGAAGGCTAGAAATGTGATTTTCCCCCATTAGATTTGAAGTGAAAATGAATAATGAACTTGTTACTTGGAAGGAGGTTTGGCCATATATTCATGAAGCATGAATATTTTGCTTTTCAGGATAAACAGTTTACCAACAATCTCTGCTTTGAAATTTAATGGTGCCTTGACCATGGCAGTTGGAACATCCACAGGGCAGGTAAATATGTTTAATTTGGAAATTTCACATGTAAGTTGCTTATTTCATTGGTGTATATATGTGTCATGAGAAATATACTGTAGGAACAAAAAATGAGGCCATACCATTTTAGCCAGAGCAGAGGGTATGCCAGAACACTGGATTCTTCTAGCACCTTGAGAAATCTTGACTCTTGTCTTGGTCAGTCTGTGGTACTGTGGACTTGGAGGTACAGTGGGCTAGGCCTGCACCACCTCATCTGGCTAATTTTTTGATTTTTTGTGGAGACAGGCTCTCACCGTGTTGCCCGGGCTGGTCTTGAACTCCTAGGCTCGGGCTATCCCTTCACCTTGGCCTCACAAAGTGTGGGGATTGCAGGCGTGAGCCACCGGGCCTGGCCATAAGTATTCTCTTATTAGTGGTTTGGAACAGCGTTTTTCAGAGTCTGTGGAACAGAATTCTGTGGTCAGTCTTGGGAGTTTGCCAGAATTCTACTCTTGAAGATTCACAGTAGATTTCAATACTTTTTAAATGAAGGCTCTGAGGAATTCTTGCAGACAACAAATATGTTTAATACATATTTCCGAAATTTGTATGTTCAAGGAAGTATTTTTTTTTTTTAAACATAACATAACTAACTACAGCTCATGCCATGAGTGGTCAGCAGAATGTGCATTAGCAGTGCCAGTCAGGAGTACTTCTTTCTTTCCTTCAAGGCAGAGCCCGTACACTCACCTCCCACGACAAGAGGTCTGAAACCCGATCGTGGAAGATTTTCTTGCTCTGTCATCGTGGGCTAGAGGGGATCTGTCACCTGGGACTTAATCCTAGCGGAGCTTCCCCAGGCTTCCTTGCCTCTAATGACAGGGGTCTGAAGGGATTTCCCCTTCTCACAAGAAGTCATAGCCTTGCTACCACCTGCCACGAATCTGCTAGAACTGTTCCTAAGTTTTGTTTATGTCTATTGCTACGACACTACCTGGTACTTAGGTCCTCGGTATGTATTTGTTGAACAAATGAAACAAATTCTTACAGGGTTTCATTTTTTGTTTCTTTCTTAGTATGTTTAGTAGCTCTTAAAAATTACTCTTGGGGTTGAATTCATAAAATGTATATGCTAAGCGTTATTTAAAAGATCTTTCTGGAGTACTGGTGGCTCACTTTAGAATCTCAGATCTCAGCACCTTGAGTAAGCGTGTTCGTTGTGTTCATAACAAAGTAATGAAGCAGATGGCTGCCATTATTCCCACTTACAAATATTTCCTTTGAGGATAAAATGTCTAGTTTGTTGAAACAGAAATAAGTTGGTTTTTTCTTTCAGGTTTTATTATATGATCTTCGATCTGATAAGCCATTGCTAGTTAAAGATCACCAGTATGGGCTGCCCATTAAGTCCGTTCATTTCCAGGATTCATTGGATCTGATTTTGTCTGCTGACTCTCGAATTATCAAGATGTGGAATAAGAACTCCGTATGTATTTTTGGTTGAAATTAGTTGCTTCTCTGTTTGCGGGTGTTTAGAATGATCCTTTCCTCTCCATTGCCTATTTGAGTTATGTGGGTTATTGAGAAAAAGATACTGAATATACATTTGGGAACTTAGTGGGAGGTCAGTTACTTTCAGATAGATAATATCCATATTTAGATAAGGTACTCATGATTGCTTTCTTCCGGTTAAGAAATTTTACTGATTATCTAGAACTGGCATGCATTTTGGATGTTAAGTTAGGTAGAGAGAAAATCATTGTTTAAAAAAGTTGATCTATGACCTGAGAAACCCCCTACATATTGAGAGTCTCTCACAGAAGTAGAAATTTTTTTTTTTTTTTTTTTTTTAGACGGGGTCTCACTCTGTCCCCTGAGCTGGAGTGTAGTGGCATGATCTTGGCTCACTGCAACCTCTTCTGCCCAGGCCCAAGTGATTGTCCTGCCTCAGCCTCTCCAGTAGCTGGGATTACAGGTGCCCGCCACTATGCCCAGCTAATTTTCTTTGTATTTTCACTAGAAGCGTGATTTTACCATGTTGGCCAGGCTGGTTTTGAATCCTAACCTTGTGATCCACCTGCCTCAGCCTCCCAAAGTGCTGGGATTACAGACATGAGCCACTGCACCTGGCCAGATGTAAGAAAATTTTTAAGAGCTACTAATTATCCTTCCATGCATGTTGGTATTATTATATATCTCAAATTCATACTTTCCTTTTTTTTTCTTTTTCTTTTTTGAGACAGTCTTGCTGTGTTGCCTAGGCTGGAGTGCAGTGACATGATCTCAGCTCACTGTAACTTCTGCCTCCCAGTTTCAAGCAATTCTCGTGCCTTAGCTTCAGAGTAACTGGGATTACAGGAGTGCGCTACCATGCCTGGCTAATTTTTGTATTTTTAGTAGAGACAGCATTTCATCCTGTTGGCCAGGCTGGTCTTGAACTCCTAGCCTCAAGTGATCCACCGCCTCGACCTTCTAAGGTGCTTGGATTACAGGCGTGAGCCACTGCACCTGGCCTTAAGAGCTATATTTCTTAAGCATATTTTGATGTTCCTTCTCCTCAGCTCTAAATGTCATTTGAAATGTAACAAAATCTTACATTGCTGGTTTTAATCTGTCTTTTCATCTTTCATTTTAAAACGTAAGTATTTTGAGAGAATAGTAAAAAGTTCATCAAATGGGAAAAATGCATTCAGTATAGCTTTGCTTTTAAGAGTTCTTTTGCATTTAATTAATTAGAAACTTAGCATTTTTGGTTTAAAAACAGATCACTTTAAAAAAATTCCTAGTTGTGATGAAGTTGGGTGGATGATCTGCCAGCCTCTGCAGTAACAGCCTGAGTGCAGGTGCCGGTCTTTTCTGTGGGCTCTGCCTGTGCTCAGGCACACATGCTGCACACAGCCCCTCATAGTTCAGCTGCCTGTTGAGTCTCTGGCTTTCTGGGCTGTTACTTTTGGTTTTTTAAATTTCATTTTGTCAATTCCCAAAGTATGGGTCTTAGTTGGCTTTCCTTTTTCCTTTGGATCGTCCTGGAGATCAGAGTGGTCCTCAGGGTGTATTCTACATCTCTGAGGCCCTAACCTAATTCATAGGTTCTGGTGACTTTTGGGGCTTTCAGTCTTTCTGAATTCTTGGAAGAATTACCCTGATGATTGCCGAAGAAGTGTCTGTACTGTCTGCTTTGTTGGCTTTGAGTTTGGAGGATTTTGAGGGCTTTTTTAAGGAAGATTCGTGATCTTCGACCAGAGTTTTCTCTGCTCTTTTTCGGGCAATTCAAACTATTTGACATTAAAACCATATTTATCTTTAATACTATAAATGCATATGGTTTTATTCTTAAAAATTCATAAAATACTGGTAAAGTAGAAGTTACTTATCCTTGACCTGGCTTTCATCCAACCTAAGGTAAAGACTGCTACCAATTTGGATGTATCTTTCCAGACCCTTTAACTTCTCCATAGTTTCCATCATGTGGATTATTAGAACTTTTGACACCTTTTTGTCAATGTTATTCCATGCTATTATAATTTCCTTTCCCCTTCCTTCCTTTTTTCCCCTTTTCCTCCCTGTTTCAGTGGGAACTTGAGAAGAACGGGAAGTATCTGTGTGAATTTCACTGTTAGTCTTGAGTTAGGACTTGGCCCGGTTCTTCATTGGGACAAACCGTCTTGTCTGTGCCCTAACACTGATCTTTTTTGCCGTGGGCACTCAGTCCATCCTAGTGTCAGACTTCTCATAATGAGTTACAAATGCAAGAGCTGGCAGAAATTTTCAACATCACTTCTTGAAATCATTGTACTGTAATTGCTACAATAAATTTTATTTTGGCATTTTTTTGTTTCTTATGACTAAAGACTTCCTCTTGACTAACACCCATATTACTTGGTTTTGCTTGACTCGCTTACCTTGTTTATCTTCCTCATCACCTTTTCCCACACCCACCTCCTTAGCATCTTTTTCTTTTACTTTCCTTCTCTTAATTTTTAAAAAATGGAACACTCTTCCCTCGACACTTAAAATGGGCATGGTTTAGCCCTAACTACATGGTAACTAAAACTTGGGTATTTGTAGATTTCATTTTGTACTTTATATCCATTGTCTCACTTGATCCTTGATCCTCCTGGAAACCTTGCATTGTCGTCTCATTCTCCATGTGGCCATCTCTCTCCTCTGACTTCTTTCTTTTTTTTTTTTTTTTGAGACGGAGTCTCACTCTGTTGCTCAGGCTGGAGTGCAATGGCACTGTCTTGGCGCAGTACAACCTCCGCTCCTGTGTTCAAGCGATTCTTTTGCCTCAGCCTCCCAGGTAGCTGGGATTACAAGCGTGTGCCACTATGCCTGGCTACTTTTTTATTTTTAGTACAGATGGGGTTTCACCATGTTGTTCAGGCTGGTCTCGAACTCCTGACCTCAGGTAATCCACACGCTTCGGCCTCCCAAAGTGCTGGTATTACAGGTGCGAGCCACCGCGCCCGACCATCCTCTTTTTCTTTCAGTACAAGTTAAGCTGGGTATACTTCACAGATTATGAGAGGTTTTTTTAAGTTGATACATAATCAAACTTCATCTTTTCCTGCCATGTTGACATTATCTTTAAAATGTTGTAATATTCTTTTTTGAGGGGGGGGCAGGTGACTTTTTTTTGAGGGGGGGGCAGGTGACTTCTCCCTAGGCCTCAGTTTCTTCATCTCTAAAATGGGAATTTTTGATAAATTGATAAGATAAATTCTCTAAGATTTTTAAAAATTTGAATTTTGTATTTGAATTAGGCTATTTCTTTACATAGGTGTAGATGGTTGAGTTACATCTCCAGTTTATTTGATGTTACCCAAAGTTGTTTTTTAAATTTTAACAGTTCATTTTTGCTTGCTATTTTTAGGGAAAAATATTTACTTCCTTGGAGCCAGAGCATGACCTTAATGATGTTTGTCTCTACCCCAACTCAGGTATGCATTCTGTAGTGGGCTTTCAGTGAGGCAAATAAACGCTAGACTTCTCTAGGCTTTAAACCCATTTTATTTCTTAAGATGGAATTTGGCTTTGTCAGCACACTTCTTGGTTATTTAACTTACTTAGAGGAGTTAAGAGCAGGAAGTGGTGTGGATGATTCAGAAAATGGCATGCTGAGTGACTCAGTGCTCAGCCCGCCCAGCTATCCGTGGAAACTGGTAACAGCACAAGGTAGGAGGCAGGTGAAATGCTATTTTAGTGTGCTCTTTAGCTCTTTTATGTGATTAGTAATAGTGGGTGGAAATTGAGGGCAGAGATTTGGAGAAAGCTAGATTGCCTGATAATATACAGATGGCTCATGAAGCCTTGGATTTTGTAAATTCTAAGTTGTATGCGTTCAGCAGTTTACATGTTAGATTTCAAAATTTAATGCATCCAAGGCAAATCTGTGAAGAATTTCTGAGTATGGGAGAAAAATGAGAATAGTTCCTTCTCTGAGGACAGATATACCCAGATCATCCTGATAGAGGGAAGTAAGGCAGAGCATGAGAAATCCTGTGACACGTGTGCAAAGAGCACTTTGACACCATGCTGGAGAGAGCGCTTTCTCCCCGATCTCCGAGAGCAGAGCATCAAGATTTTGCTTTGGTTGAGCTGGAGTGCCGAGTGAGATTTGGTTAGGTGGAGCTGGTGGGGCTGAGGTGTTTCCCACAGGAGAGCAGTATAAGACAAACAAAAAGGATGAGCATGAAGGGCTCGTCTGGGGTGGAGAGGAGCATCCTGTGCCTCAGCCGTGGTGGTTCTGGGAAGGCTGAAGTGGGAGGCAGAGGGTGGCGGGTGGTGGAGGGCTGGGCTTGATGTGCTGAATGGCTTGGGCTCCACATAGCAGCCAGAGAGGGCTTGTTCCGACTGTGCTTTCAGAGGCAGGTCTGCCCACCGTGCAGTAGGCTGGTTTTGAACAAAAGTGATTGGAAGTGACTGATAGTCTGAGCTCAGATGGGGAGCACAGGCAGGAGAGCAAGTCTGGAAAGATGATGGCTCCTTTTTCTAACGTATGAGGATTAGGAGGTGATGGGCCAGTGGCAGTATCTCGTAGAGGGTCTCAGACCCGGTTGCCCATCAGAATCGTCTGCACAGTTTTGAAGGTACAGCTTTCTTGACCTTATCCTGTGTGTACTGACTCATAGTGTCCCTGGAGAGGGCTCAGAAACATGTTTCTGTTTGTTTGTTTTGAGACAGAGACTTGCTCTGTCAGCGAGGTTGGAGTGCAGTGGCACAATCTCCACTCATTGCAACCTCTGCCTCCTGGGTTCAAGCGATTCTCATGCTTCAGCCTCCCGAGTAGATGGGATACTGGCACCCACCACCACCACACCTGGCTAATTTCTGTATTTTTAGTAGAAATGGGATTTCACCATGTTGACCAAGCTGGTCTTGAATTTCTAATCTCAAGTGATCCACCTGCTTCCACTTCCCAAAATGCTGGGATTACAGGTGTAAGCCACTATGCCCAGCCAGAAATGTGTATTTAAACTTATTTATTTATTTACTGAGACAGAGTTTTGCTTTTGTTGCCCAGGCTGGAGTGCAGCAGCACGATTTTGGCTCACTGCAACCTCTACCTGTTGGGTTCAAGCAATTCTCCTGCCTCAGCCTCCTGAGTAGGTGGGATTACTGGCACCTGCCACCACACCCAGCAAATTTTTGTATTTTTAGTAGAGACGGGGTTTCACCATGTCAGCCAGGCTGGTCTCGATCTCCTGACCTCAGGTGGTCTGCCCACCTGGCCTCCCAAAGTGCTGGTATTATAGGCATGAGCCACTACGCCCAGCCTCAGAAACGTATATTTTTCACATACTTCCCACTGGATTCTTAGGCATCAAGCCCTGAACTGATCTGCAGACTTACACTTGGGAGGTATGTCTGGTGTCCCATAGAAAATGTGGTCCCAGGATAAGAAGGTCTGTAGATAGAAAGTTTTGCGATTATCCCAGAAGTGGTAGGAATGAATGAGATTACTGATAGGGAAAGCTAGGAGTGAGATAAGACGTGAGCAGGAGCTGGTTCATTTGGGAGAATGAAGGGGAGGTGCCAGCTAAGAAACTGGGCAGGAATGGACAGCATTAACAGTGCCAGGCCCCACAGTTTTTGAAGTATGGGAGAGATTCAGTGGGCATTGCTCAGCAGCTAGTGAGGATTACAGAAGTTGGGACAGGAAGGAAAGAGCTGAGATTGGTTGAATGCTGCTGTTATCAATCTGGATGATGGATGCTATGATACAGACTTACCATTTAATCTTTCATAACTGTGTAGTCAGTGGTCCATGGCTTTTTTTTCTTTCTTTCTTTTTTCTTTGTTTCTGTCTCTTTATTCCTTACCTCTTAAGGGGTCAGAAAAATTGGGTGATTTGTTCAGGCTCGGTCACCCAGCTGGTGTGTGGCAGAGCCTCAGTTAGAACCCAGCCTTCCTGATCTGGACCTCATGCTGTTTCTAATTACACAGTGCTCTCCCAGGAAAGTTGAGAAACCCTAGACCTTATAACTTGCATTTCATCTGTGATAGTTGAGAGAATTTTATTATAATCATGGGAGTAAAGTGAAATTCTGGTGAGTTCAAGAATAGATTGCAGCTGAGGATGCTGGGTTCTAGTTAGGGTGTTGAAATGACCTACACTGGGGTCTGGGCTAAGTAGGTAAGTGAGTAAACCAGGTTGAGCTGAGGTTGGGCCAAGGGTGACGAGCAGGGGTAGCATGATGCGGGGAGTGACAGTTTGTAGGGCACAGAGAGTGGGGAGAGAGAGGGATTCTCACCTTGGGCTGTACAGTTTGATAGCCAGTAGCCACTCACGGGCATTGACATTAACTGTGAATATAAAATGCACGTTGGATTTAAAAGACAATCTATGAAAAAAACTATGTAAAATAGATCATTAATTGAAATGAAAATATTTTAGACATTAAAATTAATTTTACCTTTTTTTTTAAATATGGCTACTAAAAATTTTTAAATCACATGTGGCTCACAGCTCTTTCCATTGGACAGTGCTGGTCTAAACTGGGAGAGCTTCAACTCTTTAGGATGCTGGCAAGGTACAAGGCATTAATAGTGCTTGTGCCTGGCTCAGTGGAGCAGGGATTATTGAGCCTGGTAGGCTGCCTCAGTTTTTCTATTGTAACCAAGAATGTAGAAGCCCAAAGAGACACCTGCTGAAGTACGTGCCAATCTGTTGGCCTCCCCAGGCCGCTGTGCCTAACCAGCTTCTCCGTGAGGCAGAGCTGGAGGCTGCACTCTTCTTGTGGTCAGCTTGATTTCTAAGGTCAATTTTTGTGCATCTCTCCCCCACCTTTAATGGGTGTAAAGACCTGTTAACCCACAAAGGGCATGATTACTTGGCAAAGAAGCCTCTCTGAGAAATGCTCAGGCTCATCTCAAACTATTGAGGAACCCATTCTTGAAATTCCACCACTGATGACAGTTGTTGGAATCATAGGAACAAGGAGAGGAAGGAAGCTGATGTTAGCAGGGAATGTTGTTACCCAGGTGACTGCTAAGGAAGAGACTTAAAAAGGATTGAGAGGGTGTTGGTGATTCAACACACATCTCTGGAATACTGATTTTGTTTTTTTAGAGACAGGGTTTCACTTTGTCACCTAAGCTGGAGTGTAGTGGCACAATGGTAGCTCACTGCAGCCTTGAACCCCTGGGCTCAACTGATCCTGCCCAGGCCTCCTGAGTAGCTCAGACCTTAGGTACGCACCATCACACGGGGATCTTCTCTGGGTCTTGTAGTAAAATTTTTAATGATTTCATTGTCATTTAAAATGACACAAAAATGGTAAAATAAGCATGCTTTTTAATGAAATGTAAAAGTGTTTCTCTCTGGGAAAAATACCTAGAACACTTAGTTAATGAAGATTATTATGGCCTAGTGCAATGGCTCATGCCTATAATCCCAGAACGTTGAGAAACTGAGGCAGGAGGATCACTTGAGGCCAGGAGTTCAAGACCAGCCTTGTCAACATAGCAAGACCCTGTCTCTACTAAAAATTAAAAAAAAAAAAAAAATTAGTAGGAGGCAATGGCACACACCAGTAGTCCCAGCTACTAGGGAGGCTGAGACAGGAGAATCGCTTGAACCCTAGAGTCAGAAGTTGCAGTGAGCTGAGAACGTGCCATTGCACACCAGCCTGGGAGACAAGAGTGAAATTCTGTCTCAAAAAAAAAAAATTAGCAGGAGCCAGTGGCACATGCCTGTAGTCCTGGTTACTTGGAGAGCTGAAGCAGGAGGATCACTTGAGCCCAGGAGTTTGAGTTTACAGTGAGCTGTGATCTCTAACTGGGGGACAAAGCAAGACTTAAAAAAAAAAACAATTATGTTTATAACATTTTAATTATAGAAACATTTATAGCACAGTGATTTTAATAATTACTTATTAAAGTAATATTTATGAAGAAATATTTGACAGTTTGGTCCGAAAACATTCTTAATGTGTGGCATTTAAAAAAATCTATTTGGCTTCACATGTACCCCAAAACCTAAAAT